TGTATATGTATATGTATATGTATATGTATACAAGGATCATTAGCGCCGCCAGTTTGGCCACTCCATTACATTCTCTAATTTAATGGCTTATTCGATAATCAACATGGTGTTGGTCTTCACCTTTTCTCCCATCAGTTACGAGCTGGGTTCTAGCCTATCCCCAAATGGAATTTTTGAGGAGATTGATGATAATTTGACACTTGAAGAGCTTAATCATCCAACAATGATATTGATACTTATTATTTCCATCTTGATTGTCCTGCATAGATAACAATGCGAGGCAACTATCTAGTGCACTGGAGGGAAAACAATGGTTTTGACGATGTGTTTGGAGGTTTCATGATGGAACCACCCCCGTTCCTGAATTTAAAATGATAAGTCATTCTTATCCCTGTAATGAAGGCTATGTGATCCTTGAAGACTAAGACATATCTTAATTTAGGATAGTTGGTTGAGAAACATTAAAAGACTGACATTGGGTAAGCTTCGATCTGTCTTTTAAGGTGCTGGTCCTTAGATCATTTCTCATTTACCATATCATTTTTCTTTCTCATTTACCAGATCCGTTTTTGAGGGATGAGCTCACGAACCTTCTCTAACAAAGGGTGATTGTTTCTGATGGGTTTGTTACGTTTTGTTATCAACGATTGCTTGCGGGTTAGGACATTTTGCTCTACAGGTATTGCAATGGTGCACAAGAGTGGTGCCTAGGCCCGCAAGAGACGATGCACATATTTCAACTATAATATCAAGTTTTTGGATCACACATTTTTTGCTCTACAGGTATTGCAATGGTGCACAAGAGTGGTGCCTAGACCCGCAGGAGACGATGCACATATTTCAACTATAATATCAAGTTTTTGGATCACACATTTTGTCTATGGTATCTTTTCCTCTAATTTTTCTATTGTCTGTTAGCATATAACTCAATTGTTTTTCTTGCATACAAAAAGGTTCAATTTCTTTCACGCTTTACTTTGAATTTGTTTAATGATTTCATTTGGATGATGATGATGAATGTTTTTAATTTTGGACAACTTGTTTATTAAATTTGTGTATTTGAACAATTTATATCCATCCATAAGGTCCAAAAAAACCAAAACATTATTAACAATTTGGTTTTAGTTTCATTTTTGAAATTGGTATTAAGCTATGATTATTTCAAAGACAATTAAGTTTGATATTTTCTTCATTTTGAAGAATTTAAAAGTGGTTTTTTTCTAGATCAAAATGCATGAATTCTATAAAACATGTATTTTGTATTAATGCTAATAAAACATTCAATCAAAACGAACCATTCCTCATGTAATAATTATTTCACAATTGCATAAAAGAATATCCCAGTTAAACAAAACATTCAATACACTTATTAATCAAGAGGTTTTTTATGCAGTTGTGAAGTAGTAATTATTACACAAGGATTTTTTTTGAACAAAATGCACGAGCTTTTGAATGAACCCCAGGATAAAAAAAACGTTCACAACCACATAAACTCATAACATAGAACATTGAAACTCTGTTTTACTTCTATGAAGCTGTTTAACTTTTCCTCCATTATGCTTCAGCATGTAATTGAATCTGATTGAATATCTCTTCTTCCTGGAATGCAGTCTGGTCATGGACAAGTTTGTTCCTCGTCTTCCATATGCAATAGCAGGTGGATGCATATGCATTAATGCATTCTTGTCTTCTTCTCCCTTTGATGGTCATTAGGCTGTTTTTAACTTCTTCTATACTTCCCCCCTCGATTTTAAAGCCCAATCAATCTGATACTTTCTTCAATAGAGCAGTAGTGAGAGGGCACTTACAGAATAGGTGATTGATGTCTTCCTCTTTAATTCTACGAAAGGAGCATGTTTTATCATTGTCAGCAAATCTGCTCACTCTTACCTTGGTATTCACCCTGCCCTTACAAGTAAGCTAGAGAAGAAATTGTTGCTTTGGGGTTGACAGCTTGTTCCAAATAAAAGAAGTCCAATCTGATTTACTCTTCTTGTCGAGTAGCCAAGTATACCCCTACTCTCTTGTATATTCTTTGATAACCGGCATTTTTTCAAACCACTTTTTATTGCGAATAATCTTCTTCCAATAGAAACAGCAATTCCCTTTCAGTTTATAGTTTCCCACCTCCCCTTTCATACATCGTTCATGAATCCATTTCACCCAGAGGTTATTTTTCTCTTTGGTTACATTTCACCAGGCATAAAAGCTCTGTTCCACAAGGTCATGTTCCTCAAACCCAGCCCTCCATATGTTTTGGGAAGACATACCTCATCCCAATTAACAAGGGGAACTTTAGAGTAGTTTGCCGTAGCCATCCATAGAAAGTTTCTACAAATACTTTGCACTTTTCTCATGACCTTCGATGGGATAATAAAGAGTTGACACCAGAAGGTCATGATTCCAAACAAAACTGAGTTAACAAGTTGACATCTACCTGCATATGACAAATGTCTAATGGCCCAAGAAGAGATTTTAGAGGTAATGCTACATACTAGTCTATCACATTCTTTTTCACTTATCCTTGTTTTTCAGATATTGGGCTTCCTAAGTATCTAATAGGAAGATCTCCAAGGGGAAGGTTTGTCATTCTAAGGAATTTCTCTTGATTCTTTGCATCTACCCCTCCAAATATAATTTCTGACTTACTGAAATTTATGCCCAAGCCTGTAGTTCTCTTAGAGTATCCCTAACAGCCTTTATGGATTTGTCTTATGCCTTGCATACAATGATTAGGTCGTCTGTGAAGCTCAAGTTAACAAGTTCGAGTGATTTGCACATTGAGTGGAACTGGAATTGAACGATTTACTATAAGCAAAGTGTTCAGTGTACACTATTAAATCTTAAATGTATTTTGAGGCTCGAATTATGCAGTATGATTTGCACTCTGTGTGTCTTTAGTCCACTATTAATATAGTCAGTGACTCGGTGGCTCTTCACCGAATACAATTCGTTTTAAAATGCCATGCAGTCTTTGCTTTGTCAGATGGAGGAGGAGATAGTGTTTCTTTTCTTCATAGGCTGCCAATTCGCAAATCAAGTGTGGACAACTTCGGATCTTGGCTGGTACACACTTAAAATTTCTAGTTTTGTACTGTGGCTTGAGAAACTTTTTAGGCCTTTTGATTTGCATGACCAGGCGGGTCTAGCATTGCACACTGTGTGGACAATTTGGGGTGCCACCTTAGGCTAGCTTCGTGAAGGTTAATGTTGGACTTGGCGAGTCCATATGCTTGGTTGATGGAGAGGTGCGAGTGGGCTTTCTTTCTCGTGATGACCTTGGGGGCTTCATGCACATCAAAGAATATGTCTGTTAGAGGCAACTATGGCCCAAGGGAAACGGAGGTATTAGCAGTAAAAAAGGCTCTTAGCTGGATCAAATCAAAAGGTTGGACGCAGGTGGAGGTTGAAACTCGTTGCAACGACGTTGCGGATGTGCTTAATAATTCTTCACAAGATTGGTTTTCTCTTCAATAATTGGTGATTATAAACCCTTGTGTTATGTGGGAGGCTCTTTTTTCTACTTTCAAGCTTGTATCGACGCAAGCTTTTCATTTTTCTCATAGCAAAGGTGACGGGTCCTTACTAGACCTGGCAAAACTGACCCGGACCCGATAACCCAAATCGAATAACCCGGAATCAAACTCGAATGGATCTGAAAACTGAAGAATCGAAATAGAACCGAACACCCGAAATAATCCAAACCGAATTTGAATCGAATGTATTCAGACTCCGATTCAGACCTGAATCTAATTAAACCCGAACCGATTAAACCCGAACCCGGTTAAACTCGAACCCAGTTAAATCTGGAACCGATTAGACCCGAATCCGGTTAGACCCGAAATTGATCAAATTCATTAATATTTCATTTATCAAATGAATTTGGAGAAAATGAACTGTCTATATATTTTTACATATGTTGATGTGTTTCTAAAAAATCATATTTAAATTATGGGTGCAAATCATGTAACTACTTTCATGTATAAATCTTTTACATTGCATTTTATAACTTAAGTTAAAATACTTTTGTATTTTTATAGAAAGTACTAGTATATAAAAATTATAGTTAATTGAACTAACTAAATTTATTATGTGATTTATTCATAAGTATGTGTTTACATTATACTTGAATTAATTAAACCGATATAAACTCTAATCTATATATACCCAAATCAATACAATCCAAATTGATACAAATCTGAACTGATATAACCTGAATTGATATAAACCTGAATTGATAGAAACCCGATCTGAAATCGAAAACCAATCAAACCGAAATAAACCTAGAACCGAACTGACCCGACCCGAACCGAGTCGAAACGATTATAACATATATTCGAAAGAGACCCGAATCGAAAAGACCCGAACCAGAACTGAACCGATTGACTCGATCGCAAGGTCTAGTCCTTACCCAATCTTTATCGTCGCGTTAATTTAACATTTTGTTTGCTTTAATAAAGTAATTTTCATTTTTTATCAAATAGCGTGTATAATCACAGCGGAACGAGTAGCATTTATTCTTTATGGCAAAATCTTTTGTTGGTATTCGGTCCATACTTTGTACATTTAGTATGCCAATTTTTTTTGTGCTCAAGTCCATACTCATATGAGATGACTTTATTTATTGGGCCTTATAAGAATAAGATCTAAGAGTCCGCATAAAATATATGAAAAAAAATCAAATTTTATATGAAGCAGTTACATTCGATTGGACTTGAATGTTAAAAAGGGAAAAAAAATGTCCCAGGCCCAATTGAATGTTAAACAGAAAAATATTGATTGGGTAAAACAGTTGTACACGTGTCAAATCCTCATGACATTGAGATAAGATACCATAATATTCCCGGATCACAAACAGATTAGCCATACCATCTACGCCGTCGATCTCTAGGTACTCCCCCAATATCCACCGTCCGTTTCATTCTCATTATCTCCGCATTTCCTCAACTCTTCAAATCTCTTTCGCAACTCTTCCTGTTCGCCTCAAGTGAGAATGGCGGCTCTGCGACAAACTCCGATCACATTCCGGCCGTTCTCTCCCCCGTCGGCTAAAATCATCGTCTCGCCGACGGCGACGCTCTCCTTCTCTGGAGGCCTGCGACTTCCGAAGTTCACTATCAAGCCTACTTCCGCCGGGAGACTCTCCCGCCGCCGTGGCGCGGTTGTTGCGCAAATGGCGGATTCGGCTGCCCCCAGCTACGCCTCCGCGCTCTGCGAGGTCGCGAAGTCGAACGGGACTCTGGAGCAAACCTCCGCTGATTTGACGAAGATCGAGGAGATCTTCGCGGACGATTCCGTGCTCGATTTCTTCTCCAGCCCAGTGATGAGCGACGAGACGAAGCTCTCGCTGATCGACGAGATCGCCGAATCCGCCGGATTCCAGACGCACACGGCCAATTTCCTGAAGGTGCTGGTGGAGATGGAACGAATGGAGCTGATCAGAGAGATCTTGAAGGAGTTCGAGACGGCCTACGACCGGTTGACGGAGACGGAGCTGGCGGTCGTGACTTCCGTGGTGAAGCTCGAGTCGCAGCACCTGGCGCAGATCGCCAAGGGCGTCCAGCGCCTCACCGGAGCGAAGAATGTCCGAATCAAGACGGCGATTGACCCGTCTCTGGTCGCCGGGTTCACGATCCGGTTCGGGAATTCCGGGTCGAAGATGATCGACATGAGCGTGAAGAAGCAGCTTCAGGATGTCGCTGCACAGATTGAGATGGGAGACATTCAGTTGGCCATATAATCAAAAATTTTTCCCCTTTTTTTCCCAATTTACTCTCCAATTCAGTCTGCAAAATCATGAATGTTGTAATGAATGGAATTTGTAGAAATTGATAAAAGAGAAAATAATTTGTATATTAAATTGGCTTGTGATTACAAATGTCTAACCCCCTTTATATGGAAAAAGAGTAAAGCATATAAGTAAACTTCTATTCCTACCATATTTGTATTCCTACTAAAACAAGAAATAAACAAACTGGGAAATATACTAAACCGAATCCCAAAGGGATTCAATTTCTTTCTTCGATCCGGCTTCCTTCTTCTATCTCCAACACCCCCCCTCAAGCTGGAGCATGGGAGTTCAACATGCCCAGCTTGGACATCAAAAGATTGAACAAAGCAACAAAGCTTGAGGAAGCCGCTGCCATCGTTGTCCAAGTGTCATCTCGACACTTCAGTTTTTTTTCAACGGAGACGCCAAGCTTTTCGAATCCGCCGAATAATCAGTCATGTAAAGGAACGCCATTCTTTTCGAACCTTCACCATATTCGAACAAACAGGGGGAACACCATTCTTTTCGAACACCCTGAACGCCGACTTTTTTTNTTTATTGCATGCAAAGGAAAGAGTTGTCTGTCTCTGTAGAACAACCCTTCTCGGACAACTTCAAGATTGATGGTTGGGCGGGATTCCTCGACAGCAATGTTCTTCGTTAAAGGAGTTCATGATATTCTTTAGTGAAGGAAAACAAATAAAGAAAATAAAAAATTACAATATCCCGCCGGTAGGCATTGAATTGTGTATGCCCACCGGCAGGTGAAGAAGCGTGTTTGAGGTCTCAAGAATTCAAACCTTGCTCTGATACCATGTAGAAATTGATAAGAGAGAAAATAATTTGTATATTAAATTGGCTTGTGATTACAAATGTCTAACCCCCTTTATATGGAAAGAGAGTAAAGCATATAAGTAAACTTCTATTCCTACCATATTTGTATTCCTACTAAAACAAGAAATAAACAAACTAGGAAATATACTAAACCGAATCCCAAAGGGATTCAATTTCCTTCTTCGATCCGGCTTCCTTCTTCTATCTCCAACAGAATTTAATTATTCATCATTTGATACAATATGGAATATGACATTTTGTATATATTCTTAGTATACTTGCAAGGATCATGCAACACTCATGAAGATTGTAATATGCACCTTGCACTATCTGTTTACTTACCTTACCCTATCTTTTAAGAAAAAATACAAGTAGAAGAGAATCATGAGATGACAAAAAAAATTGCCCAACTATTTAAGTTCAGGTCCGGATCGAAAATATTGATCGAATCAGATAGTTAAGTTTAGATCGAATCTTGACCGAATATATTTTGGGTCAGTTTCAGTAAAAAAAAATTAGGCATTCGGGTTTCTGTCGGGTAAGTTTTATTTTTTTATATCAATTTTTAATTAAAATGATTTTAAAAGTTACGAAATTTTACACGTCGTTCGAACAGAGAACTTGTTTTGAGGATGAAGAGAGTAATTAATAGATCAAAATAATTACAAAACATATTTTATGGTGTTCGATATTTTAGTCCGGCCGGTTTGGTCCAGTTTTTGGTCCATGACTTTGTTTAGTTTGGTCTTCGGTCCAGTTCGGTCTTGAACTGCTGAATAATCCAGCCCATGTTACTAAACATTAATGCACATTCTTACTTAGATCAAGAACAACATTCGTACTCTCGCATTTACATAGGTTTCTTTTGCCATATATCACCTTGGGCAATAACAACATAGTACACCTATGAGTTACTTACAATGGCAAATCTAGTTTACTACAAAGAAGCTACATTCATATATTAGTTATAGATTCCATAAGGACGGGCAGCCCAAATTGAACTAAGCTCACGTAGGCGTTGGAAGAAGTCCCCAAACGCAAGCAATCCTCTCGCGGCTTGCCTGGTTGTGAGAATACGACACATCTGCTGCAATGTTTGTTGTCGGAGGTTATCAGCCTGTATGTAAGTGTCAAGAACAAATTTTTAAGAATTTATACGTTTAAATAAATCCAAAAACACGCGCCATGTAAGAGACAGTCCACCTGGTTGACGAGGGTTTCGAGTGATTGTAATTTCTCTAGAGCGGACACTAATTGTGTGTTGCAACTCGCCATTCCCATGCTTATAAGTCTCATGCTATGGAACATGAATTGTTGCAGTTTGTCCATTCCTTGGTTGAGTGCATCCTCGGCTTGTTGGCAACTGAGTTGCAGGTCGTACACGCTCAAGAACTGCTCTTCGCTTAAGGGCGCGATTTGTGGCAATATAACCTGCATTTTGACAATATGAGTTTGACAAAGTTAACTGGTTAGGTTCAATCTTTTAGTGTGGTTTGACACAAAAAACTTATGGCGTGTGTGAAGTAAAGAGGAACCTAAAATCTTGAGAAACCAACAGAGTTGTGGGAGAAAAAATTATTAAATTACGTTTATAAATTCGGATGGTTTGAATCCTCCGAGCCATAGGAGAAACCGCTCAATTGGAGTTTGCCACATTCCTGATATCAAGTAGAATATGTCTGCTTTGCCCACACCGGCTTTCATTTGGAAGAGACGATAGTGGTGGTTTAAGGTGTTAGCCACTAGTAACTGCACTTCAGCGTCGTGCGCATTGCCGTGCAAAGCGTTTCTAAGTTGTGAAATTCTCATTTGCTGCTCTTCAACCCATTGTGCGTATTCCATCTCGAATGCAGCAATTCCTGCATTCGAAAAATGCGGGAAGGAATATCGAGTTAATAAAGGGGAGTTAAACTAGATAATCGGTTGAGTTCCTGTGTTTTCATACCTGGATTTATAGCTCCATAGAGTGCTATGTTGCGCGTGGCGCCTAAAATATGAAGTCCCTTCATCGAGTGATCCAAAACTACGTCAAATTTGGATTCCAAATCCGGATTTGGCTAAAATTTTATGTTTGAGAATTCAAAAATTTAGATTTGGATTTGGGGTAAATTTTTCCGAATCATGACAAAAATCAATTATATACAAATTCATATATCTCATGTCAATTGAAATTTTGAAAAATAAGTGTAAGAATTAAAACTAAGTGCTAGTTTCCAAACACTTTTTTTACCTGTTGTCTGGCTTTGTGAAGCTCCAATTCAAGTTGTGTGAGTTTCATGCGGCTGGTTTCTAATTGCTGAACATATGCCTGCAAAAGTATATATGTACTTAGATAAACCAAAAACAGATCTCATGCATGTAGTGAAAGGTTCTTTTGACAATCAAATTGAATTGGGTGTATGACTAATGACTCCCAAAACAGATGTGTTTAAAACTGTTTTCGTATATATACTCCTACTTAGGACTTAGGAGTAGGTTAAGCATGTACGATTTGAACTTTGGTTAACTGACACCCCACACAAATGTATGGGCTTTTTAGACCTATTTGGAACTATTGAGGGTGTTTTGGTCAATTTTAAACATTGTCTAGAGGTCTCAGGGCATAACATGGTCTCAATACAACATCTTCACAAAATCACGTTGAACACATATAGTCTAAACTTTGTCGACTTGACACCCCAGTTTTAATGCTCCTAGCTAGCTATACCTTTTTTCTGAGACGACTTTTCCGAGCTGCTTCGCGATTTTGTGCTAGACGCCTCTGCACCTGTCAAACAAACAAACATACCAACAAACAAAATTTGAGGTTTAGTGGTTGAACATGGACACCAAGATGTAATTAAAGGCTTCTTTAAAAAATTTGAAGATGTTAGACAATAATACTAATAGTACTTCTTGTAGTATTGGTTATGGTAGTGTTTCATTATTAGTCAGTTTCCTAATCCTATTTGTGGTAGATGTTGTATGTTAGTTAGTTTCCATTCTCTATTCCTAGTTGTGTTAGGAGTCCCTCCTATATATACTCTATCATGTACTTCATAATTTAATGAGCAATATTATTATTCTAATATTTCAACATGGTATCAGAGCCACCGCTCTTGGTGACCTAAAAGAGTTCTTTGCTCCCACCGCCGCCGCCGGTAATTCCGGCGACGGCGGCTCCACCCTATTCACCTCTATTTTCTTTTCCTTCTTTATCCTCAAATCAACTTCTTCATTCAAATGAAAAAAAAAGAAAAAAAACTCTGTTGAAATCACACAAAAAAACTATCAAAGGAGGAACTTCTCTCTTGTCATCTTCATGGTTCTTCAAAAAAAAATCCCAACTGCTCACAAAATCTCTCAGATCATCCTATCTTCTCAAAAAAAAAGGAAAAAATAAATGATTGTTGTTTCTCTCCAATTCACCATATCAAAATCTCAGACCCAATTTTTTTTTCCCATCACCAATTTTTAACCTACTTTTTCTCTCTAAAATCACACATTCTAATCATAACCTCCTTTCTCTTTCTCTTCTGTTGAACCATTAAAAATCCAAAGTAAATCAGCACAAAAAAGCAAAGCCAAGAGGGGAAGTAGTGAAAGAGGAAATAAGACCTCTACAACTCACCCCTTCAAGAAGGAAATAGGGCATTGCCCGGATCCAAGAAAAAGACAAAAAATGTCAAGGATCTTCAGTCAAACAGGCACCTCGAGTAGCTTTCTCTATTCTTCTTCGACGTCAGCAGCTACAAGCGCACGTCAACCTTCTCTCTTCTTCATCGATGTCAGCAGCTACTAGCGCACGTCAATTTCTCTCTCTTCTCCAACGACGTCAGCAGCCACCGGCACACGTCAGCTTCTCTCTTCTCCAACGACGTCAGCAGCCACTGGCGCGCGTCACACTTCTCTCTTCTCCAACGACGTGAGTAGCCACCGGCGCATGTCAGACTTCTCTCTTCTCAAAGTTTCCAGTTTCCAGCTAGTGTCCAAGCTTCCTCTTGCTTCAGCCAGAGTTCTGCTTGAGGGGAGATGTTAGACAATAATACTAATAGTACTTCTTGTAGTATTGGTTATGGTAGTGTTTCATTATTAGTCAGTTTCCTAATCCTATTTGTGGTAAATGTTGTATGTTAGTTAGTTTCCATTCTCTATTCCTAGTTGTGTTAGGAGTCCCTCCTATATATACTCTATCATGTACTTCATAATTTAATGAGCAATATTATTATTCTAATATTTCAACAGAAGACATCATAAATCATGATCATAATCATCTCACCCTGTCTGCAATGCCAAGTGGTGTTTGATTATCCCATGAAGCCACCGAAACTGCAGCCGAATCACTCGAAGTATACTCTGACTGTACAAAAAAAGAAGATATTATAGTTATTTATTAAATTTATATCCTAATTCAATACGAAAAAATGTTTTAAAATTTTTTATACAACGAAAAAAGTTAAATGAAAAGAAAATTCGAGTGGAATTAAAACACTTTTGTATAGTACGGAGTACCTTATAGTCATCTATCCCTGCCATTGGCTGCAGCTGTGTAAGCTGCTGGAAGCAAGCATTTTCCCCATGGATGACCTCCTCATCTGTACCACCGCCGCCGCCGCCACCACCACCACCGCCTGATCTCCTTAGTGTCTCCTCCCAGCCGCCGCCGCCGTTCATCTGGTGGAGCAGATTTTCGTCGCAGAATGCGTTCATCGTCGGGCCAAATTGAGCCGTTGCAGAACTCATCATCATATTCATCATGCTCGTCATCACCAACCCATCATAAGAAACCATCTATCTATCTATCTGTGCTGTAATATATGAACATGCATGGCAAAGATGGCTTCTTGATTTGGATTTGTTCCATGAAAAGAAAAAATACCCATTTTCAGGCAGGAAAAAAAGAAGCACATATGACCTGTGGAATCTATAGTTAATAGTAAGATAGATACACAGCTAGCATATTGGTGATGGAGTATATATGTTATTCCATTTACAGACAGGAAAACAAAAAACTATAACTAATGTTTTTGTTGATTTTTATGCCAAGAAATAATGAATAAGGAATATAGATATGTGTACAGCACAAGAACAACAAAAAAAAGAACATGCATGAGAACCAACCAGTTTGTTGATGAGTGAGTGAAGGGCAACTTGATTGGCAATTAAAAAGATTTAATTTATAGCTCTCAAGAAACTAGAGTTTGACATGATCTTGATCTTCCTAATTTATGAATTGTTGAATTATTAAATGTCATGACTTGGAATTATGTTTGATGGCAATTTAATATTGATGGTGTTTCTAAGTTTAATTTTATAAGGAGTACTATATATGGGCTATGGGTGCAAACAAGCTATACTATTACTCTCTGACCCAACCATAATTGTTTGTTAATTCAGTATTCATAAGATCAAATTTTGATATCTTTTTATGTCTACGGAGTGTTTTTTGTTATCAAATTTGACTTTTTACATTTTTTGAATCCAATATTTTGACTATTAATATTTTTATTTATATACAAATATATGTTCTCTCTATCCCTAAATGATTTACAGGCTATGAAGAACGGGCAAGACATAGAACATATGTCTTATAAATTAATTTCGTTTAATTTACAATCAATATTCCGTATATAATGCATAAAAATCAGTATTCTGTATATAAATAAAAAACAAACTTGACATATTTAAAAACTACATATTAAAAATTTTACATATTAAAAAACTTGATATTTTAAAACTTTGTTTCAAATAAAAATATTGATATTAAATTTATATCATAATTCAGTGTATTTTACCGCAGTTTGTGATAAAAGTTTAAAAGCGTGGAGGGTTTGGACTTTGGAGTACTATCATGTTACTTCTACACCAAGGAGTAAACCCATTTTGTACACCACAAGTTTGGACTATCTCTTTGATGGTTCACACGGTATAAAATACTAGTATGAATGAAAATTCTTACACTAGCATTTTCGGGTCAGTGTGAACCAAGGAAATAACGATGCAAACATATGGTGTACAATTGAGATATACGGAGTACTCCCTCCGTCCCACTATATTTGTCCACTTTCATTTTTACACACCATCCAATGCACTTCTTTAATCCATTTTATCTTGTAATTTGTATATTAAAAAAATTATAGAAATTATATATTAATAATTTATATGTTAAGACAAATCAAACAAGATCACGCATGACTATATTTAGGTTTATACATTGAGAGAATTTGATGAGTCAAAGTGCTTAGATAAACAGTTCCAAAAGTCAAAAGTGGATAAATATAGCAGGACAGAGGTAGTATTTCTTAGTGTATAAGTAACTTTATTCATTGGAGCATGTAAATTTTGCTCTGTACTTTTAAATTAGCTTAGCACTTATGTGAGTTATGTCTCACTTTAATGATAACTGAATAATGTAATGAAAAGTAAACACCAATAATTAGTGACAATCTAATTTGTAAACCAATTTGTAAAATAAAAAAAATTGTAAACCATTTTTTTTGTCACTGACACATTTGTATAGACCCATTGAGATGACATGAGAAAAAGAAACCAATAATCTACATCCATATATATGACAAGGCAGAGAAAAGGTTCCAATTTACAAACTTACGTAATTATTTTTGTTTCTACTCCATCCCAGTACATATAATTATGGAAAAGAATTAAAAAAGTAAAAAACACCCTCCGTCTCACAAAATTCATATTTTGGCTTTTAATAGAAATAAAAATTGTATATTTGTAATTGATTTTCTAATTTTTGCTCTTGATGTGATAGATAAAAGTAAGATGTGATGGTAAATTATTAGTGAAAAAGTATGATGTGAAGGGTAGAGTAAGAAAAAATAGGGGTAAAATGAGTTTTTAATAGAAAATGGAAATGTTTTATGATATGTTTGGGAATATGGATTTGGATTTCAAATTCGGATTTGGCTCAAATTCCATGTTTGAGAAACTTATAATTTTGAATTTGGATAACATTAGGAAAAACAAAAATGAAAGATGAAGTGTTTTAAGAAATGGAAGAAGTAAGAAAAAGTCTGATTCGATTAGAAAAAGAAAAAAATTGAAAGAAAAAAAAGAGTTTACGGCTTAAATATTTCAATAAATAAAGTTATTTTTAATTTTATTTATTTGAATAATATTGGTATATAATAGTTGAACAAAAAAATTACTGATACTTAAAAATTAGGAGTAAATCAAAAGTCTTGTTTAGACTTTAGATTTGTCGTCTGCAGCGTGCCGCGTGTAGGGACACAAAAAAGTGAGCTTAAGATAAAAAGCTCTTCCGACCCCAAAAAAAAGAAAGATAAAAAGCTCTTTTAGCGTTCATAATGACTCCAAAAAACTAAAGGCAACCAATATAAGCAATCATTAATCTTTTTCCATTTTTTTAATTCTGATTTTTTTTTCTTCTTCTTGTTCTTTTTTGCTAGTTGAAAGACCCACTAATTGGAGGCCTCTTCCAATAAGGGAAGGTGACGAATTAAATTGGTTCTTCTAATTATAAAAGTCCCACTTTTGAGGGTTGTTGCGTCCAAGTATGTATCCAACTATGTGTCCTATCTTTTCATAACCATTAAATTAATCTCACAAAAGAATTAAATAGTTTAATAATTTTAATTCGTATGTTAAAGTTGAGATATTGATCTTTGAAGAAAATTAAATTGAAAAGCATAATATAAATTATTACATGTTGTTAGCATTATAAAAAGATAAGTACAACCCCAAACATAACTTCTTTTTATATAGCCATATCACTTCTCTCGTTGTTAAATCACCTTGCAACAACAAATGAAAAGGAATAAATCTTCTCCTCCAATTATTCAAATTTTTAGAGTATTTGAGTTATTTTGGGCCTACAAAATAGCTGATTTGTTCACAAAGGCGCTTGGAGTACGGCAATTGAAGTTGCTACCAGACAAGTTGGGCCTTCGAAATCTGCACGGTCCAACTTAAAAAGAGAATGTTGATATTATTTCGTTATTGAGTTATTTTGGGCTTATTTATCGTACCAGGGCCCATTAGTTCTACTACACATTTGTTTCTTTTTTTTTTAGTTTATTTGGGTTATTCTCTTTTGTGTAAAGGATTATGCTTCATTGACCCCAACATTTTAATCCAACATTTTTAACCCCGACCCAGTCTTACAGACATGAAACAGTGTCGGATGTTTGTGATATCTGTAAGAATGGAATTGAAGGATGAGGTTCAAATGTTGGGATTAAAATAACATTTTTCTGTAAATGAACTCTTCTTGGATTATTCAATGCAATGTGAGGTATTACCAAAACTGAAACTCTCCTCCGATCCCATCCTATTTTTATACGACTCAAGATTAGGAAATTGACAAAATGCGTCGTAAAAATAAACTGTGTTAGAGTCGGGGCTGTGTTGGGAGTTTACCAAGAAGGTTAGGAGAGGTAGAAACAATTAATTTTACAAACGAAATACTGTAGGTACCCCAAATGGAATCGTGTAAGACTTATTGTAAATATTTTTGCTGTAAGATTAAGCCCCTCATTTTTAATAAGGAACAAATTTTGTGAAAGTGGACGAACAATATCAAGCTTAAAAATGGTCACATATACTTTTCCTTTATATACTTTTTAATTTTTTTTTAGTAAAAAAAAATTCAATTGAAAAAGGATTACTCCATACAACAACAACCCAGTTGAATCCTACTACAGTAGGGTCTGGGAAGAGTGTGTGTACGCAAACCTTGCACTATAACCCAGTTGAATCTATACTGCTCATTATATCCAACGAACAAGTTAAATGTGTAAAATGTGTTAACCAAAAGAATTAAGAGCCTGAATTTTAGGAAAATCTGTGATAATAACATGACTCAAGATTAAGAATTGAGGCTCTATCTCCTTCTGTCCCATCCAATTATTACATGACTCAAGATTAAGAAATGGAGAAAATCTGTGATAATAACAATATAATTAGAAGGAAAAATGTTATATATGATCAACACATTTTTTCAACAGAAGAAAACTAAAAAATGGGATAACAAAAACGAAAAAAATGAAAAATTAGCGAGACAGATAAAGTATAACAATAATGTATATAGCTCCCAAACATGAAATAATATTATCAACTCCAAATTAATGAATTTTTATAAGGAACAAATTTTGTGAGAGGAGGGACAATATCAAGTTTAAGCATGGAGATGTATTTTTTTTTAGAAAAACATATACTCTTTGTTTCAAATATAAAAAATCTTACTTTTAAACATTTTTTAGTATAAAACGAATCCAATTGAAAAACTATTACTCCACATTGCTCATTATGTTCAACAATTCGGAGTAAACACTTTTTGTACAACTTAGAGAAATATAGTCTTGTTGTAGAAAAATATGAGAAGATACCGTTATTTGCTAAGTTCAACGTGAAAAGTAAAACAAAGATCCGACCATATATATAGGCATGAAAGTAGGTTGGTGTGGCAAGTAATTAAGTCATGGGGTGGGTAGGGGGCATGGGTATAGGGAGTCAGTTAAGGATATAGGAACAATATATTTTACGAATGAAGTAGCGTTAGAACCCCAAACGTAGTGTTGTACAAATTAGAGATATATTCAAGTCATACAGAGATATGAGAAAAGATCGTTATTTGGTAAGTTAAGCATAAGAAGTAGAACCATGATTTAGCCTTATAATCATGGTAACACGACAATTCGATCTATTCATAAAGAAGCAAATTATTAATTACATATACTCATAATAATAAGGCGATCAAACTTTGGATACACTTTAGTTTTTAATTTCTTATATGTTTTTGGTACACCTTTTAGTTTATATCGGAAACTTAATTTTGAGAATCCATCCAAATTTTGAATACACTATAGTTTATATAGGATGATTAAACTATATATGAAAAATTACCCTAATTTTGACCATTGCCTTGCTCTTTAAAGGAGGGTCCTCAAAACCAACCCTGTTATTAATTAATTATTTAATTAATATGAGATGGGGCTAAATGAGCACATTCATAATCTTTTGTATATGGATGCCCATCACCATTTTCATCAGCCTTCCTAAGTAATTCACTATTTGCATGAATGATCTCGTCACAATTGGGATTAGCTTCAGAAGCCAATTGGTTTGCTTTAGGTGCCATTATGTTTGCTCCTGAAATTTATTTAAAATGGAGATACAAAAGATCATTGGATACTATACACTAATACACTCTAGCTAATTCTAAAATTGTTTAAAGAAAATTTAATTTATATGGCAAAATAATCTCAATCACTTTTGACTTAATTATATTGTGACT